TTTTAAAATGGAAAAAGCATATAAAATAAGAATATAAAGAGAGAACATATTTTTGTACCGCTGTACAAAGGGTTCCTGTTTTAAGCTAAGTGTTATTCAAGAGTCAAAAAGTTAAACAAATTTAAAAGTTTATAAAGTAAAAACGTTACAGTAAGCTAAAGTTAATATATTATTGAAGAAAGAAAAAGTTAGTGTAGCCTAATGTACAGTGTTTACAATGTCTATAGTACTGTACAGTAATATCCTAGGCCCTCACTTTCACTTACCACTTACTCACTGACTCACCCAGAGCAACTTCTAGTCCTGCAAGCTCCATTTATGGTAAGTGCCTTATATAGGTATACCATATTTTACCTTTTATACTGTAATCTTACTATACCTTTTCTATGTTTAGATATGTTTAGAGACACAAATACTTACCATTGCCTCCAGTATTCAGTACAGTAACATGCTGTACAGGTTTGTAACCGAGGAGTAATAGGCTATACCACATAGCCTAGGTGTGTAGCAGGCTATAACCTCTATATTTGTGTAAGTATTCTCTATGATGTCTGCGCAATGACAAAATTGCCTTAGGATGCATTTCTCAGAATGTATCCCTGTCATTAAGCGAGGCATGATTGTATTATACTTTTGCCTGGAAAGTGTTTTTTTTCCTTCTTTTCAATCACCAATATTTTTTCCTTTCTTCCTAGTCTGGCTAAAATTTTAACCTGGGTCAAGTTTTTCCCCATCAACCAATGCACCTGACCTCTAATCTCTCTAAAGAGCTTCATATCATGGCATCATCCATTTAGTGTTTATCATTTACTACTTTTGGTAAATACATCTTACCGTACTTAATGACCTCTCAATTACATTATGTCCCTTTTTACAGCATACGACCTTTCTTGTGTCTCTTGAAAAACTCACAGTTAAAGAGAGGGATTGAGAGGTTTACCTGGAATATTTGCAGAATGCGATGTTTTTCCATGTATCGGACTGAAACTTCATAAGGATCTTCATATACTACAGAAGGGAACCTCCTATTATAAATTTGATTGTATCCATAAGATCTTTTTCCTGGCTCAAATTCTGGAAAATCATCCTGAAATTTAAATGCACCCCCAAAGAGTCTTTAATAAACCAGAAAGCCCCAGGAATTGTTGTTGGTATCAGTGAAATCTAGTGTTGATGGGATCTTAACATCACGAGTTGGAGACAACACATTTTTATGAGACCTGTCTGATCCTCTAAGCAATATAATGCACCTCAAGCTCTGGGAGGTACCTTAGGCATCTCCAATCAACTTCAAATACTGTTCCCTTCACAGGGATCGCTAATTAACTCCAAATTCCTTCCCTTGGTAGAAGCCCAGAGAGGAAAAATGACTTAGTGTCACAACGTTAGTAGCAGAAGCAGGACTTAAAACCCAGGTTTCCTGAATCCTAGTTCGTTCACTCTTCCTCAATGGCCTTAGGGTAGTAGAGAAGGCAATACATCTCTTTTATTTTCCACCCTTCTCCTGCCCTTCCTGAAACTTATGGGTCTCACATACCACAACATGTGGGTTTATTCCCCAACCTTGACCTGACATGTGTCCTCCTACTCCTTACCCCTACGCCCACGCTTACAGACCCCGTCGTGGTTTCCAACCTTCCAGATAGATATCAAATGCCTCTTTAACGTACCAGGTTGGTTTCTGTGGCTTGAGTTTTTTCTTTTCCAGTGATATAGTCCAATGTAGATGAGATGGAGGGCAATCTTTGGAAAAAGCCTTGGCCTTTTGCTTGGAAATTACTGGTGGATTTGGCATCAACTGGGTTGTAGGCCTGGGTGATGGTTACACTTTCAGTTTCATTTTCTACTTCATGTGGAAGCTTGGAATTGAGGTCTATTTGACTGTGCTCAAATTTGCAGGGTTGTACTCTGTAGTCAGCCCCTTTGTCCATCTCGCTGTCCTCAGACTCGCCAAGTGTGCCATAGTAAGATAGGTGGTCTTCTTTGTAATCATCTTGTTTTTCTACTAAGTGAACCTGGTCAGCTTCACTGGAGCCAGCCTCGTTACCTGGAAGTTGATCAGCCTGGCGTTCAGGTAGTTTGGGGCCTTGGCCATACACTGGGTGGTGAGTCTTTACAGATGGTTTATGGTCAACCAGGCCAGACAATCTGAGGTCAACCTGTTCAGAAGTTCCTTGGTTAGCCAGGCCAGACGATCTTTGGTCAGTCTGCTCAGGAGTTCTTCTCTCAACCTGGCCTGACATTCTGCGGTCAGTCTGTTCAGAAGCTCCCTGGTCAGATGGCATGGGCAATTTATCATCAATCTGTTCAGACGTCCTTTCAGCCTGGCTGGACATCCTGCGATCAGTCTGCTCAGAAGCTCTTCTCTCGGCCTGGCTGGACATTCTGCGGTCGGCCTGCTCAGAAACTCTCCTCTCCACCTGGCTGGACATCCTGCGGTCAGTCTGTCTGGAAGCCCTTCGGTT